CTGAGGGACTGTTACTCGCTTATGAACTGGAACAGGACCCTGGAGCTCCCATCAGCTGGAGTCAAAAGCTTGGGCTGAACTTTTAAGATTCATGCAGTACCCTGGGATAGCGAAGGCCAGCTGAGACTTGAGTGCTCAGAATGGCTATTCCTCTTCTGTACTGAGATATTATTAAAGGATGTTTGGGCAACTGAAAAACAGAATCTAAACAGGGAGGTCTGTACTAAACTCAGCCCTCAGCCTCTCTGCTTTGGGGACCCAAGCCTGCTCTACTTTGCTAACGAGAAACAGCAGCAGCTACATGGCTGTTCTTGGTTAGAGGGCAGTACCTTGTGAACTCTACACTCCTGAACTCTGGCCACAATGTCACATATGCGTGTTTTTTTGGTAAAGAAATGATAGCTGGCAATGCAGGAGGAATAACTAGACACAGAAAATCAAACATGTAGGTGGAAGAAGTACAGCCAAGCCCTGGGACCCCAAGGAAAAGTCTGGGCTGTCTGCAGAATTTACAGGAAAAAAGACAGTACAAATATCTGGATTGGGGGCAGGATCGAGATGCAAAAAGGATTTGAACTCATCCCTAGCACATGATAAGTATTTGGCAGACCCACAGCATGGGGAATTGCACATGTAGTTCTCATTAGTGAAAAACACACTGAAGATTTAGGGTTTTTTTAATGTTTCTCAAAATTTTCAACTTGCATTCATTTCGGAAAAGCTATTGTAATTGTGGAATAATTTTTACATTTCCTCTAATACAATGCTCTCCAGACAGCTTAAAATTTATAAAGACTGTAAGACAGCCACCAAGAGATTTTTCATGTTTTTTCGCATGTGAATCTCAACACTTATGTCATATATTCTACCGCTTTGGCCCATAACATCAGGATTCGCTTCTTCCAACTATCATTTCCTTTTGGATTGAACCTGGTATGAAGACGTCCCTCATGAAAACTCTAAGCAAGGGCTAGGCAGACACACAGAGAAGTCTGAGTAAATGAAAGCATCTTCCAGTCCTTTGAAGACAGCAAGCAGGAGATTTTGGCAGGAGAATTGTTAGCATGAAACAAGACTTTGCCAGAAACCTCACCATTGCCTGAGTTAACAGTGCCTGGGGGGAGCACCACCCCAGGAAAACTGATGGGGAGATGCTGGGAAACATCATCATCACAAATTCCATGCACAGTGACTGAGGAATGACTTTACTTTCATCACAGTTTGGTAGTTTTCAACCAGGTATACAGGGGACTTACTTGGTAGTGTAGCAAAAGTCAGTTTGTCCATGTCTTCCTTTAGAAGAGACATCCCAAGTACAGATCATTTTACGTAAATTGTGCGTTAAACATTTCAAATTCTGGGCGTGGCCCAGAGAACCTGAAATCATGTAAGAAATACAGTCATCAACTGCAGGTCAAAAATGACCAACTGAAACACAACTGCTGTTGCTCACCTCTATAGCTATTCTTTTTACATTTTTATTGCATGCATGTCTGGCCAGTATTTTAAAACTGTTGAATGATTTGTGTGCCTGATTACAGACAGCCACAGACTGCCAGATTTCTATAAGTACCTAAAATCTGGGTTCATACTTGTGTGCAATGACACAGGCAGCTGTTTCTTTATACGAGGGTACGTTCCTAGTCTAGCCTAATAAGCAGGCTTTGGGCCAATGGCAGAACCGCAAGCTCTGATGATAAAGAGTTTTTTGCTCTCCTCCATCATCCCACATGGAGGGCAATTAATGACTGAAGGGCAATTAATGATAATGTGTGAAATTGTTGCAGACAGCTGACATATACAGCAAGAAGGCCTCGATGTGGACATTTACATCAACTGCATATGCAGACTATCACAGCTGCATTACAGGGAATTTAACACCCAGTTTTGCACTGGTTTACAAGATGCCACTGGTTGTGGAAAGTAGACAGCAGGCCTGGTAGGACCCCCATCCCCAGGACGATGTGGGACCACAGAGGTGACAGTTTTTGAACATACATATAGTAGGAAAACAATGTAATTAGATGGTGTCAGTACAGAAGCTACCAAAAAGAAAAAAAAGTAATTAGTGAATTACATGGCAATAAACTCACCTATCTCTTGGCTACATATTAAGCTTCTTAAACATAAAATAGCTAGCGCTAAAAGGCAGCAGAGGCTTGAATTCTTCCACATTCTTCTACTGTTTGTTTTCAGAACAGCAGCTTCAAGCAGGAATAAATGTCATCTTCCAACAAGCTGGTCAGTTCTAAAATTAAAAACAAAACCAACTTTGAAATTCCAGAGCTGGTACTCCACAAACACCACTTTTTGTTCCACCTACTTTTCTTCTGCAGCGTTGCTCCCAGGCGTAGCAACTCCCTTCTCCTCGTTACCTGGCAAGCAAACCTTTTCACTGTCCCAACCACTCCTTGATGCATGGGTTTTCAGCAAGATATTTCAAACAGAACCTCAAGAATCACAGACATTCAAAGCCAAACTGTCCACAGGCCTCCTTCAGGACTATCTGAGGCCAGAACAGAATAGACATGGCAGGGTTTTCCCCTAGAACAGATCTCTTCAGCTTAGATGAAATGTCACATTCATGGAGGGTCTTATATACCATGAATGGAAATGTCCCCTGCTTTGCATATGGGTTTAAGGTGACAGGAGAACCCATCTATTTTCCTCTCTCTGCTCACTTTTCATGCCGCAGCTAATCAAAGCTACGGGATGCCTGAGACACTGCAGAACCAGATCTGCTCACCCAGGATCACTGGTTCAACCCTCTGTTAAGTAATAATGTCTGGAGGAAAAAAAGGGGAAAAAGTGAGAGCCATTTCTATACCAAAAGATACTTGTTGCTGTAAGTTATGACATTAAGGTAAAAATTATTTAAATATTACGTTTAATGTGCTCTTTGCAGATTAATGGGCTGCATGTTTTCTAAAGAGAAGTTCAACTGTTCAGTGGGGTCTGGGGAACACATTCAGTTCCACCCACATATCGGCCACCATCAGTTTTTGTTCTCAAAAAGAAAACTGCAGGAAAGCTTACCCTAAAGCCCACCCAATCCCTGATGCGTTGTTTCCCTGTCACCTGAAAGCTCTGACGACTTGAGCACCCTCCCAGAGACCGTAACTCCCATGTAGCAAGGGGCCTTCTCTCAGTGACCAGCAGCGGGAGCTGGGACATGTTCACGTAAGAACATAGCTGAGCCAGCCTCTCCTACAGAGCAGTTTTCTAAAACTCACATTTTGTCCAGGCTACTTCTTTCAAAAGTCTCAAGTGAAAAGGCTCCTGACCTTGTCTTAGAAATCTCTTCTAAAGCTAGATGTACGTAATTGTTAGAATAACAGACTTTGCCTAAAAACCCTCTGTAATTTTAGAAGAAACTTCTCTTCACTGCACTGAAGTCCTCTGTGCCACCGGAAGCACAGTCCTTCATCCCTGCAATACAACCATATGGGTTTAACAACGTTTTTTTAAGGAATTCTCCCTCAGGGGACAGCTGGGAATGCCCAAAACGCTCTTCTGTCCCTCACCAATCTGTCCTGTGTGAGGAGAAACATATCGGCACTGTATCAAATAATCGAGAGCTGTTCACAAGGGGCCACTTCTTTCTCTCAGTCTGCAATAACCACACTAAGAGAAAGGCCCAGGCAGCACAGGAGCTGAGAGAGATGCTATGGTAAAGGCCAGTGTTACATCTGGAGGGAAGAAACACCCTTAAAACTTAACAACTGTTTTCACCATGTTCTCAGGCCACCTGAAGACCTCGCTAGAAACATGCTACTTGAAGCTATACTAGCCCCAGACACATTCAGTTCTTCATTTTATGTATTCCTAAACTGTAATATCCATGCCATGCAACTTGTTAAAGGCCAAATCAAGAGTGAAGTTTGATAAATCCATGTTCAGGTAAACATGAATCAAGAACCTGCCAGCACACAAAACATAATTATCTCTGTGCCAGAAGTCCCCCACTGCATTTTGGTGTCTATCAGGGTCTTCATGTCTTAGTTGTCCATGTTACTAATGAAAATATGGGATGTTACCTCCAGGTTTAAACTTTCCTCACAAACCTTTCACTTCATCGAAAACATGCAGATTACTCACAGACCTGGGAGTTACATGAATAAAATGACTGATTTCTATTTGTGAGGTACATGAAATTATACCTGTTTGTTTGTGAGTACTTCTTCAAAGGCCACTTCTGGTTTGCAGAAAAGCCCAGAATCAAAATTTCAAGTTTTACATCAGAATCAGTTGACAGTCCCCTATCAGCTAGCAGAAGCCAAGGAAAGAATGAAAAAAAGGGAAAGCACTGATGTCACTTAAAGGAGAGAAAACTGCATTGTGAAGCTAATTAAATCCTAAGCCTCTTACTTTCTAAACACATTATCTGTACAGGATTGTGCAAAACCTGTTTGGTCATGCCAGGTTTACGAGGCAGATTCAGCAACTACACGTATGTGTGTATGTGTGTGGTTCAAGAAAATCTGATTTTCTGCATGGTCTTTCAATAGTGAGCTTACTGAGCAGTCCCTCTACTGTAGAAGTTTTAAGAGTAACATCATAGCAGTGAATTACAAGAAATTCGCGTCATACCAAATTCTCCTAACTCAAGCACAGTTTTAATTTCTGTTTCAGAGTCAGGCACCGAAGGGAACCTATGTACTTTCATGCAGAGCATGATGAGTGTCTTGTAAACCACAATCTTTCGTAAGAAGTGTAGACTCCCTGGCTCTGGTCTTCTCATACACATTTTACAGCTTGCTGAAAAGTTGGCAATTTGAAGCCTCATGTCACATAATTAAATGCCATTAGCCAGGAGAAAAGTTCCCCATTCATAGGCTTGTTTTAATTATAAAGTTACAAAATAATTGAAGTAATTTAAAAATAGGAAGTTCACTTTCTTTGGATGAAAGCTGTTTTCCATCAGTTCAAGACTAATTCAAACAAGTCATGGAAGATTTTTCATACCCTGGAGAGATATGAAAAGCATGTTATCTTCTAGGCAGATGTACTCTTAAGACAGATAGGACAATATAAGTCAGAGATATTTATTTAGGACAAGAGAGCTCAGCATTGTCAGAGGAAGGCAAAACCCTGATCAGGGCTGGCTGGAGTGCAACAGGAGCAGTTGCTACTAAGTGTAAATGTCTTTACATTGTAAATCTTCATTTTTAAAAAAATGAGGTGAAGGTGGTCAGCCCATTCTCTCCACGAGAAAGAGCAACTGCAACTAAACCATTTTCAAACAGACGTCCATCTTAAAAAACATCAGCTATAGCACAACCCATAACAACCTCATTTCCTAGGGCAATCTGTTCTTGTCACTTCACTGGCACTATCATTAGTGCTCCCAATGTGCTACACAACTCTCTCTTGCTCCATTTTAAGCGCATTACTTTCTCCTATCTCCAGCAGACAAAGAACAGTTTATCCTCTGCCTTGCAGCAACCTCTTACATAGAAGATGACTGATACCAGGTCTCTACTAGCTCCTCCCTTAAAAGCTCCAATTTTTTTCCCACCATTTCCAAGTCTCAGTTTCTAGATTTCTGATTGTTCCTGGAACAACTTCTTCTCTGTGGACCAAATCTGCTGTATCCTCAGCTTTGAAATATTTCTGCCCCCTGAGGTCTGAGCATTACCAAGCACAATGAAGGAACTTTTCGAAGACAAACCTATGCGTAGTATGTGTTTACGCAGCCCATGCCATATTTGCTTTTCTCTCAACATTCAGACCTTGTTGACTCAATTTCAGCATGTGATCCAGCCCCAGATACTACTGTATGAAGCTGCCACGTAGCTGTTTATCTAGTACTTCAGACTCGAATCTCAGCCCCAAATGGACTGCGGCCTCCTTAGTGTGAGTATATTTGCACAGCAAATTCATCTTAAAGGCCTTGCCTGAAAAGGTCTTTCACTTTTGAAATTTTAAAATAAGGAAAAAGCCTCTGATAAATCCATGCTAAGGAACAACACTGTGTGTGTATCCAAAAAGTATTCATGTGCAAATTTAAGCCATACCAACAGAAAAGGCATGGCAGGCTTCAGTATGTAATTGCCCATATTTAAGAGCAGCTGCTAAAACCAGGATCCCACAGTAACTGTTGGAAGCTACAGTACACAGAAACGTCCCGACTTCTGCTCAGGACTTTATGTTGTGCAGAGAACTGACCCTTGCGCCTGCGGTCAGAAAGAAGTAATTTTAAATTGATCTGTATGCAGATAAGCTAACAAAGGAACAATTAGATCCAGATTCTTAATCGCTGAAGCCAACAGATGGTGGCCCTTATTAAAACAGCTCAACGTGAACTTTGGACTTTTAGATGACTTTTAAAGATGTTTCGATGCATACAGTGCACCTACTGCTGATCAGAAAGATATGAGAGGGAAAGTATTCCAAGTCAATAATGTGTGCCTGGGAAAATATCTGTGGACAGCTTTCCTTCAAAAGCTTGTCAGCCGTAAAAAGGTTAAAGGTTCTGTGACAAGCTGAGAAAACGAGGGCAGCACCAGCTGCTTGACAGTGACATGCTAAGACATTACAAGCCTCTTTAGACTTAAGCTCTTAAAGGGAAAAACAGAAGATACCAGTTATCTCCCCTACTGACTGTGTTTCGTATTATGTATTTCTTGGCTTAACTGGTTCTGTGTATCTTTCTTTTAAAGCATAGCTGATCAAATGCTCGATTCTCTTTAAAGGAAAAAAAGAAAGTATTTTCTTAGTCTGTTGTAACAGCTCAGTTCTCTAAGCATATAAGTTCTCCAAAGCTCTGTTCTACTTTTGAGTTTTCTGGTCTCCGAATGTATTTCATTGTCAAGTGCTTGGAAACCACTTTGAAAACAAACAAAACAGATTAAAAAAAACCCAAAAATCTTTCTGGCCTGCTTTCTGCCTGCAGTCTGATCTGCCAGTCAAAACCCTTCAGATTTGTTTAAAAAAAAAAAAATCTATGAATTGAGGATCAGCGGCCACACTTTTTATGGCTATTTTTGTACTCCACAAGCAGGCACCTAAAAAGAAATTATTAAAAAGTCAGCTTATACAAAAGTCAGTTAGGGAATCTGTAAGTGGAGAATACCAATGAAACCAGGAAAAACATATGTATTAAACATAATAGAAGAAATCTTTTTGTCAATAAATTTTCTCAAGTTATAATTTATTTTTTTCTCTACAGTTAA